CTTTTCAAAAAGGTACGATTTCACCGATTGATTATGCAAAAATAGTGGAATTCAATACGCGGAATGAAATTGAATTGAAGTGAATTCCACAAAATAGTGGAATTTGATTCAAATTTTCAAATCATTTTCTCAAAAAAGCAAAAAGAATCTACTGGGAGCGAACTCGAACTCGGGGAAAAAATACGCGTACCATATTCTGGAGGCGAGTACACTACCCACTGCGCCACTAGTTCACCGTTTAAGGGAGAAAAAAAGCTTACAAGGACTCCGAAAATCGGCCTAAACTTTGATGCCAGATATCTCGCGTTACAGAGCTCCATTGGAAAAAGTAAAAGAATATTCAGAATCAGCATAGCCGATTCTATAAAACCCTGGGCTTTGCCCTAATGCCTTGTTCTCGTTAGAACAAGATTACGGTAGTCGAGAAAGTTGACACATTTTAGAAAGCCAAGAGAGAATTCTAATCAGTAAATCAATGGGGGTCTGTTTTTAGAGGTGAGTTGACCTGAAATGACCTGAAAGAGTGATCTAGAAGGTGAGCCCACAAAAGGGGTGTCAATATGTCATCCAAAGGGGGTCGACCACAACAAATAAACACAAAACCCTTCTTCCACCTTGCAGCCTCACTTTCTCTCTCACTGATGTGAATCATTAAGCGAAAAGTTAGGTGTCCTCAAGATCAAAAACATCAGCGGCTCGATAATCGCTAAGTCGCTTATGCAAGACTGTAGCGACATCACCGCTTTATTTTCTTGCGATCTTCCGATTCGACAACTTTCTTCAATAACAACACAAACCAAATAAATTAATAATGTGTGGCCCCTTCTTGCTTTAGCCCAACAGCGACAGTGCCGATTTTGTGCGCTGTCAGCCAATCTCTTGTGGACGTCAAGGTACAAATTGGAGCTTCCGTCCACAAAAGCACTCTTTCTCGAGCCATCAAGCGTTACATCCGTTACATCAAAAGAGCAATCATAAAGAAAGCACCAAACTGAAGTCGGCACACAAAGAAAAAAAGGATGTCTTGGGCTCGGGATCACATCACCATCGATTGGAAAAAAGTAAACTTTTTGCCTTGAGTTGTTAACTATTTTTTGCTTTGTAGGTCAGCTTCAGCGATGAGAAAACTTTAATTTGGATGCTCCCGACGGAAACAAGCACTATTGGCACGATTGGAGAAAAGATCCAATGCTTTGTGGGCGTCGAAACTTCGGAGGAGGATCACTGATGATATGGGGCGCTTTCGCTTAGATGACGTTCTTGATTTAGAATTTGTGACTTGTCACATGAACTCGAACGATTACCAGGATGACCTTGCGGATTAACTACTTCCTTTCCTAGCACAAAATCGAGGGAAACACTACATTTTTCAACAGGATAATGCTTCAATTCATGTCAGCCAATCCACTATGGCTTTTCTGCAACGTCACAATATCGACTTTCTCGAATGGCCTGCCTGCTCACCGGACTTAAGCCCAATGGAAAACTTATGGGGCATCCTCGTGAGGAATATTTATGCTAACGGAAAGACTCACGACACGATTTCGCAACTCAAAAAAAGCAATTTTGCAATTTTGGACGTCAATTCCACCACAAACACTTCGAAACTTAGTGAACTCGATGAAAAGTCGACTACTCGACGTCATCGAGAAAAAGGGAGCATTTATTGATTATTAATGAACTTTTCATTCGTTTTTCTTTTGTTTATTCTCAAATTTATTGTTATTTTTTATGTGGCCCTATCATTTCGCAACAGGTGTTAAATAAAGAAAATGTTGTAATTTTGTTGCAATTTGTTCAGCTAATGTTAAAAATGGTCTAGACGCCTATTTTTGTATATGTCGTAGTCGATGAAGGATTTCAGCCGAAGAAGTCTCAGACTTCTTCGGCTAGCCGATTGAGTCTCAAAAATAAAATCTTGAGTTATGTATTGACTAAAGTCAATACCACAAACTCAAGCTCTCTAAAAGGCGCTTAAAAGCTAAAAACGCATTCTAAAGAGTGCGCATTTTATCATACTGTAACCAAAGGCTATAAAAGGGCCCTTTTCGTCATTTTCTATCTGATTCGTCATTTATTTGAAATAGAATTGTTTGTTTTTGTAAGTCAATTTGATCCCTTTGTTGGATCATCGATAAAACTTGTTTACCACTAATCTGTTTATAATCGAACACAAAATTTTGTTTTTTAGGAATGGAAAAAGAATCCGACCGGCAGTTTTCTCACTTTCAATCAAATCAAAAGCGAAGTTTAATTCTTTCAAGCGAGAAATACGCGGAAATCGTCACCGTTCTCCAACAATTGCGGAATGAAGACTTCAACCATCGAAAAACAAACAAACACAAAAACTTGTAGTGCGATTCTCTCTTCGATACGAATTGAATCAAGAGGTGCTTTACAATCATGGGATCAAAGGCGATTTGAACAAACCCAAGAAAGTCGTCAAGAAAGAGGAGCTCTTTGGCCTGTTAACGACCACTCACCAACAACTTGGGCACGCCGGACGAGATATAATGTGGCAAGGACTATAAGACTATCATGGGGTCTCAAAAGAGGTAATATTTGCGAAATTTGTAATATTTGCAACTTTGCATAGAGCAAGTGTAACTGAAGATTTCATTTTTTAGACTTCTTCGGCTGAAATCCTTCATCGGCTACAACATATATATTTCTAGGATTTAAAAGCTTTCTTACTTATTTTTCTTTCAATACTTTTGTTTGCTGTCTTATTTTAGGGATGGCGATGAACAAACGATTTATTCTCTCTGGCGCAGAAGACTCAACTTATCGAGGATAAACGAGTAGGAAAATACACGAATGATGAAATTTAAGCCATTGATTTCATTGCCAACAATCAAAAGAGCACGTGTAGCGAAAAACGAAACTCTTTAGAGGTTCACGGAGCAGCGCAGTTAAAATACTCCGATTAGCGGGTAAATTCTTCGTCAGTAGGCCCTTTCTCTGGCAAAATGCTTTGGAAATACTGATTTTAAAGCAAGCAAAGGATGGTTGTCGTCTTTTAAGAAGTGTCACTCGATTGTTTTCAAGTCAATTCAAGGCGAGGAGAAGGATGTCAACGTGGGTGATTTGCGGGATTGGAAAAAGGGACGTCTTGCATAAGCGACTTAGCGATTATCGAGCCGCTGATGTTTTTGATCTTGAGGAGAATGGAGTATTTTGGTGATGTTCTCCCGATTTCTACCACATGAAGCGGATGACGTGGCTGATAATTCTGACGAAACAATTCAAAGTCAATGGGATCTTTTAGTCGCGGTGGGACGAGCTGACGTGGCTTACAACTTCTCGGATTTTATAGATTTTGCTGAGGAGATTTGTGCCCTACTGGAATATTTGTCACACATTATGATTTGCTTTATTCGCCAACACTCACCAAAATGGCCAACTCAAAGGCTGTTGAACCGTGAACATTTCTTCTTGTTAAATCGTTTGCCGCAGCTAGATGCAGTGCCGTGTTCTGCTTTTCATCAGTCGCATCGATCAACGTCGTCGACATATTTTCCAACAAATACTTCACCTAAAGTTTTAAATTTACCAGCAATAAGTTTAAGTGTTAATTTTTGATCGAAAAAGCTTATATCCATAAATCCAACCACGTCTCGAAAAACTCCGCATAACGAAAAAAAATTTGGATTTAAAAATCTCTTTCTATAACGGAAACTCCATATAACGGAAAGCTCTAGATAAAGGAAAAATTTTTTGATCCCTTCCATTCCGTTATAGAGAAATTTGAATGTAACTGAGTTTTTCAAACAGCACTATCAACACCTAAAAGGAGCTACTTTCAGCTAATTGGATGGCCGATTTCCCGCGCGGGCATCGTCTGGAAGGGCAACTGCTGTAGACAGTAGAACGACGGAGACGAATTACATTTGCCGAGTTAATAAAGCTTGTAAATAGTATTTTTTTACGCAAGGCATAACGAGCAAAAACAAGATGATGAACTAAATGGCCAATTACATTCAAGCCAAGAGTCACTGATTTTTTGGAAATTAGGCTTATAGCCAAATTTCTAAAAAGATACACTTAGTAGTTTCGCTTAAAATGCAAGTTTTGTGAAAATTCGTAAATTTGGCACTCCTTGAAAACCAGTTTTTGAATCGTTCTCAAAATCTGGATATAAGCTTGATTTTTGATTCTCTACAACTTTTCCATTGACACCAAAATGGGTTTCTTTTGAAGAAAGTGCTCAAACTGTCACATATCACAATAGCCCGCAGTTTTCAATTCACCAATCCAAGAGTTTTAGTTACATAAATATATGTACAATTTATTAGATGCCAATATAAAAATCCTACTTGCTTCGCTTTTTTATTTCTTGAAAATCACAAGAAATTTCGCTTGCTTGCTAAAATTGCTTGTTAAAATTCATGAAAGAGTTTCTGCGTCTTATCAATTTTTTGCTTCCCCACATAAATGCGGATCACTTTTCTTTTTGATGTTCTTTTGAAGTTCTTCTTTTTTATGGTTTCCTTTATTGATTCAAAAATAAAATGGAAAATTGAATGTAGATCTTTAATCACTTTTTGTTCAATCAATCAAGCAATCAATTTTTGTATTTTCTCAAGCCTCATACGCAAAAGAAAACTTTTTTATTTTAAAGGCTTTGATTTTAAATAAACCTTCAAATTTTATCTGTCTAAAAACACTATTTACATTTACATTAAAGTAAAAAAAATAGAAAGTATGAAAAATTTGAATTTTTAAAACTTCTAAAGTTTATCCTTTAACATGTAAACAAAATTTCATTCGATTTTTTAGCCAAAAACTTTCGCAAAAGAAGATAAGAATTCTGCCTACAAAGGCTTTTCCTTTTATCATTCGAGCACAATCATTCGACATAAAGATGAGGTTTTAAACATAAAACTTATACAAGTTTTTCTCCTATTTTTCTGCTTGAAGTAGATCTTATTTCTTGTTTTAAAAAAATCTTTTCTTTGAAACTAATTTCAAGAATTTTAGAGTTTTAGTTTCCAAAGGCAATGACCGATGATTCCAATGATGATCCTTTCGAGGCGAAAAGGAAGAGAAGTTCGGAGAAGCGAAAGACCGAAAAAGCGACTTTCGTCCTCAGCAGTGGCAAGGATCCGATTTCCGTTCAATTTCCTTCGGGATATGAACCACACACGGTCAGACAAAGTTCCAATCAAAGTTAGAGCAGCATTGCTATTGTCAGTGTTATATAAGGCCGGTTTTTTATTTGAAGTTTTCACTTATTTTCTATTTTGCGCTAAAATTACCGTGTCCGAAATCAGAAAAGTAAAACCAAAAGTGTAGTTTTATTTAGTTTTGTGTTTCTGATGTTTTGTGTTTTTTTTCTGACCCATCAAAAAGAAATTTGATGAGCTCTACACGGACTGGCTATCAAATGAACGAGGATTTGTACGAAAGGCGGAAACCCTCGCCCATCAGAAATGGATTAGTTTCTTCAGTGGATGATAGCCGCTTGGGAAGGCCTACCAAAACAGCTAATCGAGGAATCTTTTAAAAATTGTGAAATATCGAATACATTGAATGGTAGCGAAGATGATAAAATTGTTCGTTTTCGCAAAAGAGAAGCTGTTGAAAATGGTCATTGCAAGCTGAATATTGCGTTATTCGAGGGAAAACTAGCAAAACTCTAGTATGAAGTCGACGCTGATGAGGATAAAAACAATGGTTACTCACAGTAATTGACTATGACTATGACTGACTGAGTGTTCAACTTTGAGCTCAAATATCTCGGTGATTTTAATGGCTTTTGCCCCATCCAAAAGGCACATTTACAAGTCCAAATTTCATGGAGAATCGTACCATTTAGATTTAGATGTAGATCGATCCGAAGCCTAGAAGTATGATTTTCAAGCCTTTTCCAAAACTCCATCGTTGTCCATAGAAAAGCGTGGAGTTTGGGGAAGGGCTTGGAAGTCATACTTCTTGGCCTCGGATCCGTCTACAAATGGTACCATTCGATTCTCCATCCAATTTTGACTTATTAATGCGCCCCTTATTAATTGGGTGGGGTAAAAGTTCCAAGGATCACCGTGGAAATCGGCCTCAAAGTTGGTCACTCAGTCAGTCACAGTGAGTACTGTGACTTACCGGTACCAATGAAAGTCAACTTTTAGACTGACGATCGGTCTGAACCTCGGGGAGATATCTGAACTGAATTGTTCAGATAAATGAATAATTGAACTGAATTGTTCAGATAAATGAATAATTGAACTGAATTGTTCAGATAAATGAATAATTGAACTGAATTGTTCAGATAAATGAATAATTGAACTGAATTGCCGATTTGGTTTTTCGTAATTCTCCGTCAACAGGATATATGACAAAAAAGCAAAAATATGACCACAAATTTTTTGATTTCTAACTAACTCCAAATAATTTTTCAGGAAGACACTTCCTATCGAAAAGATGTGCCAAATGAAAACTATCACATAATTGGCGAGGGAAAGTATTCGTATGTGATGTGGGTTTTTAATCAGAAATAATTCCCATATAACCATAGAAACCAAAACAACATCAAGTTACCAAAACGTAAATTCATTTTTCAATGAAACCGCCGTTGCTTCCAGAGCCGCCAAACTCGATTACAACCATGTGGAGGGCAAGAACTCGGACACAAATTCAAAGCCTAATATGATGCATGTCACGTGCAAACGGTTGGTCGTTGCATAAAGTTCAAGTTTTTAAACAATCGTTCTTTTAGCTATGATCTGGGGCAGCTGAAGAATACGTTCGATGGCTACACAAGAATCAGACGGGAGCTGCAAATCTGTCGCTTGCACCGTCACGAGAATGTAAGAAATATCCATTCCAACTATTGCAAATTACCGTAAAACTTTTAATATACGTAGATGTACGTCTAGGAATTCTCATAGAAAAGTTGTGCCGCTTCATAAACTTGTCAAGCCATCCCTTAGAAAAATTGGCAACATCCGGATCTTTTTGGGCAAAAAGCTTTTTCTCACGCTCCAAAATCATTCGACGAGACACTTCTTGCTTCGCTTCTCGCTTCTCCCGAACCCAAATTGCCAGGCTTTAATCCGCTTCAAAAAAAAATTGAGCTTTTGTCCGCCTCCTTTCAATAGCTTTGCATCGTTATTTCCCGTGAGCAGACATTCCTGTTGTTTCTGCCACTCGATAATTGGCGACTCGAAACTTTTTTTGCAGCTTTCTTATTCGATGTTTTTTTGGCATACTCAATGGCTTCCAATTTGGACGCAGTCGAAAAAGAGTGCCTCTTCTGCATTTAAAGAATCCATCCCTAGAAAAACGAGAATTTTATTGAAAACTTGAAAGTAAGCATAGATAAATTCTTATTTTAGTTAAATAAATAGAAAAAAATTAAATTAACACAAATATGTACCTAAAAATACATTTATTGAAAACCAATAATGTGATACAAACAAAGGATACATAATAAGACATAAAGGTCTAAACACACAATTTTATGGCACTGCGGCCATTACTCCTATTGCCCCTATTACTCAAAATGTTGTGAAAGAAAAAGCCCACTTGGGTGGGAAAAAGAAACATTTTTATGTTCCCATCATGATTAAACTTTCGACCTTCCGCTTAATAGACAAGACTTCTAACCGGTCGGCCATCTGGCTCTCATTTACCTAGGTAAAATAAAATCCTTATAAAAATTAAATTATTAAAAATGACTACGAGTGAAAAAATGAGTGTCGCCTAAATTCCTCAAAATCTCGAGAACCGTTTATCAGAATCTATCGATCTGGAGTCGAAAAATGTAGCTGACGATGATATCTAGCGGGGGATTTGAGTGTTGAGCTTCTGCAAAAGCTTGGAAACCGTAAAATATCCACTAACTCGGCTCGCCGGGTGCACTACTATTAGAGAAAATACGGTATACGTCTAATAGAGCATGTACGTATATTAGAAGTTTTACAATAATTTGTAGATCGTCGACTTTTACGAGGTGTTCACCGAGCCAGCTGTTGGCTCACCGATGTTTATCTACGTTGTCTCCGAGAGGATGAACCATAGTCTAGCCAAGTATTACGAGTAAGTGCATTGAGTACGTTTTTTCGAGTATTTTGTTAAGGATTTTGACAACCAAGAAGATAGAAGAGGTCGACGTTCTTCACTTGGGCGCCCTTCTGACGCAAATACTTCGAGCGCTCAGCTACCTCCATCAGCGGGGAATCATGCATCGGGTGAGGGTGGCTGGAGTGAAATGAAAGCATAGAAAAAGACAAGTGGTTGCCCATTATAACTGAAAAATATCACGTAGATTCAATTATTCAAATACCATAAACGAAATCTCGCCAAAAACTAGTGCACCACGATGAATAGAATTATTCAAGTTATTGCCTATTAACTGACCCACGCGCGAAATAAGGCAGAAAAAATCGTTTTCTATAGGATTTGTAGGATAAAAATCAAGTTTTAGTGATTTTACAGTCTTACATTTCAGCCATAAATAACCTAGTATTTCTTGAATGCATTGAAACCTTGCATTCCTACTTTTTTTTTGCTTTGGTTTAGACATTGTCGAAATTTTACTTTTACGTTAGAATATGACTGAAATTTAACATAGTAAAATCCCTAAAATTTGTATTTTATCGAAAAATCTCTTGAAGGGAATTGAAAAATTCTTTCATTTTTTTATTTAGCATATTTTTCTGCATCGAATGGCTATTCAAATGTAAAAATTCTATAGAAACCATTTTCGTCTTGTTCCTTGTGTCTTGTGACATTAAAGTATTGAAGAAAAGTGAGAGTATTGAAAAAGAAAAGTTACGATACGATAAGTTACGGTATTGAATGTCTTTTTACCAGAATGTCTCACCAATGAACATCGGCATTAACACGGGAACTTTCACGGTGAAGCTCTTCGATTTCGGATTGGCCAGGTAAGCGAAGAAAAAAAAGCGAAGTTCACATTCGACTTTCAGAGAAATAAACGTGAATCTCGATCATTCGACAAACGTCGAGACCTTGCACTACTACAAAGCTATTGAGGGCCTCTTACGGGAGCCATACGATATGAAAATCGACATTTGGGCCGCAGCACTCGTTGCCATCGAGCTGCTTGGCTTGAAGCTTTTCTGGCCGTCTGGCACGGAAAAAGACGTGCTCGAGCTGGTATTTCTTAACGATATTACCGATAAAGTCGACGTCGATATTGCCGTCGATTAAAGCATTTTCTAGAAAGGCTCAGCTCACGCAACTACTGTATTAAGGTTTTAATATTAGGTTGGCAAGTTATAAACGATCGTTTTAGGCAACAACTTGTTTATTTCATAGGACGCAAAAAAAGAACATTAATTTAAAAGGTATTCTCCATTATTATCGATGACTTCTTGCCATCTTTGGCGCAATTCCTTGATACCATTCTCAAAAACTGAGCGTCCTTCTGAGCCAAGTAGAAATAAAGTGCGTTTTTGACTTGTGCATGATGATCGAAAAGTTTTCCATAGAGGCATTGCTTTAACGATCGAAACAAATGGTAATCTGAGGGTGCTAGGTCGGGTGAATAAGGCACATGTGGTAGAAGTTTCCAGCCAAGCTCGTCCAGTTTTTTGGTGAGTGACTTTTGCTGTGTGCGGTTTTGCGTTGTCTTGCATAAAACGGACCATCGACGGATTGATGCCCAATTTCTTCAATAAGTCACTAACTCTCATCAAATGTCTTGAGTAGAGACCAGCATCAATGTTATGCATAGGATTCAGCAACTCATAGTACACCAAACCTCTAGAATTCCACCAGCACCTGCTATTAGCGTAAGCACTTTACAAGATTGAATATTAGGTTGGCAAGTTATAGACTTTCACAAATGATTTTCGATTGTTGTATGAGAAACATCGAACATTTCTGCCACGTCTCGAGTAGTGAGTGTTGGATCCTCTTCAATTTCTGCCAGCAAATCCACATCATTCACTCCTGAAGGGTGCCTCTCATGCGGCTCATCCTGGAGACTTTCGTTGTCACTTTCAAAGCGTTGAAACCATTTTCGACATTGACTTTCGCTAATACTTTCATCTCCAAAAGCAGATAAAATTGTACGATGAGATTCAGCGGCTGATTTTCTTTGTTTAAAATTGTAGAGCATAGCTGGGCGAATAAGAAATTTTTCGTCCTCCATTTTTTTCAGGAAAATAGGGGCTCAGAAATTTGAAAGGGGTGTTATGTTTACGCTAAAATATTGTAGTTTGCTTGCAGAAAAAAACCCCGGGAAAAATCTTGAATTTTAAGAAATCATTGAACAAAGCAAGCGATCGTTTATAACTTGCCAACCTAATACATTTACGAACGACAGGTCCTGATGCCAGGTGGTGACTTGGATGATCTGTGGGAGGAAACGGCCTGACACCAGGCCGTGGGCTTGTTTCTCGCTTGTTCATGGTCACTATTAGCATTAACACATTTTCTTAAGCACTTTGTTTTTCTGAAGCGATTTCCCAATGAATTTTTCAATGGTGCTGATAGAGATTTCGTTCAATGTCTTGATTAAATCCCGTTTCAAGGAGTCAATTGATTTGTGGGCTTTTACACATGTCTTGCTTTCAAAAATCAACAATATTGAGGAATCAGGGATTGAGATCAGGCGACTTTGATCACCATTCGCCTGGGCGTTGTTGACTGATGTCCACGGTGATGCAATCTGGGAAGTTGTTGGAGATCCAATCTTGTGTATTGTGAGATGAAGCACTATCTTGTTGAGAAACTCAATCATTATTGGCATCAAAGCCAAAACTTTTTTCTCAAACATATTGACGTAAACTTTGTTGTTAATTTTGACTTCAGAGGGAATGAAGATCAAGGACGTCTTTCCTCCATGAGTGACGCCCAAACCATGAGTTGTTGAGGCTTTTGTTGTCTTGAAACAATTCTGTCGTCTAGCGGAAGAGGTTCTTTGGAACAAGTCCGATCGTTCTGATGGTTTGCCTGCTCAATACCAAACCACTTTTCATCCGTGAAGAGGATCTTCTGGTGTCGGCCAGCACCAAATCGCCTTAAAAGTCGTTTGCAGCGTTCCAAACGTTTTCTTTTCATTGAATCTGTCAAAAAAATGTTCTTTCATTCTTTTTCTAGCTTTTATTCCAGCTGTTTTGAGGGTTCGGTTCATCGAATCCTCAAAACAGTTTGGGGTTCCTTTTAAGTCGATCAAAAATCTTTCGACAATTTGTTGAATTGTTGGCATTCTTTGGTGGATCTCGTCGTTTACGTCGTTTTATTGGAGCCCATTTCTTTGAAACGGTTCACAGCGCGAAAAACATTCTGTCTCTTTTCCTGCAAGATTCGAGATTTCTCTGGGAGTGTTTTTCCTTGCTGTAAGAAGAGTAAGAATGGCTGGACGCAGCTCTTTCTTTGACTTCATACCTAAAAACGATCAAATCATCGAATTAATGAGAAGAAAAGAAAAAAAGATACACAGAAAGCAGTCAAACGTAGTAAGATGCGCGTCACCATAATTTTGGGATACCCTGCATGCTTATTATTTAAGATGGACTAATGTTTCCGAATTTATCTAAAGTTTAAACCAATTGGCTCTTGGGTAAAATCGGGGACTTTTGGAAAAATCGGGGGCCTTATAGGAATCCGAAAGTTTTGATAAATTTTTGATTAGTATTTGTTATTTATTTGCTTAAATATTTGAACGTTATTTTTGGTCCTCTACCCAAATCCGGTTTTAGTTTTTGTAACCGTCAAGTAATATTTGAAAAACACGCCAAACAAGGCTTTTTACGCAAATTGCCAGCGACAAAATCGCAAAAAGAACCTTTGCCAGAAAGGCCACGATTACGCGTGGCCAGTGGCCACAGTCTTTGAGTCTTATGAATCCTAATTGTTAGTATTAAAGTGAAAAGTCTGAATGAGCAAACGACCTGTCTACGGTAGCTTGTGGCTAGCTTCGTGAAATGCTTTAATCGATAGCAACAAACTCTGTCTATGGTTGTGATGGAAAGATTCAAGGTTTTAGGTTCGTCGTCGCGGCGCCGAGAACGCGATCAAAGATCGAGTTTTTGAGGTCCTCGGCGTGCCCACGGACAGATACAAATCAATGTGAGAGAATTGATGACTAAGCAGTCGTTTTTAACTTTTTCTAAAGTTCAATCCAATAGCTAAGGCAGTCGCTTCAAAACAAAACCCAGTGCAGATTCTCTCGGCCGGTCTTCAAGGAACCCTGTGTTTCGACCCTCGAAAAGGTGCTAATGAACGAGACCAAGCGAAAAATCAAAGATAAAGACCAAAGCGAAATAACAGGCAATGGACTGTTTAAAAACTTAGAATAAATTAATTTTAGGCGTAAATTTCCGTGATTTGGTGACCCGGATGCTGAATCCCGATCGTCAGAAGAGACTCAGTGCCGACGAGTGTCTAAAGCATCCGTTTCTGAAGGCTTTCAATGTTAGAACAAAAAGTTGTACAGAAGATTCATTTTTTTGGATTTCAGAAAACCTACCAAGAGAAGTCGGTTAGCAGTCAACCAAAAACTGACGACCAATTCCAAAAACGCAATGAGAACGACAAAAACATGGTCCTGAAAGAGCTGAAGGCTGGTCTGACTCAGCTGTCCTTTCGTCCAGAGCTATCGATGCCATAAAATTGATTGTGGATGTAGATTGAAGGTCTACAAAATTGCGAATGCGATAAACATTTGTTTGTTGATACTCGATTCTATCAAAGCGCAAAGTCAGCATCTAATCATCAGTTTAACACAAGTTTAAAGAACAAAAGTTTTGAATTTTTGCCACTGCATAAAATTTAATCATTTTCTTCTATTGGGTTGGTGAATTGAAAACTCCGGGCTATTTCGCGGGACTCGCAGATAAAAAAACAATAGCATTGAATCAGCTGAAAGGGGATTTGGTATTGCACTTGACAATCTGCCACCCGAACATGTTCGTCATGTGATGCTTCATGAGTTCCTACAAGAGCACAGTGCAGGCTTGGCAGCTGCTAATATAAAAAGATATATGCGGAAGACTCACCTTCTGAAAGAACGTGTCAAGTATAGTTTCCCAAGTTTCGTTCTGAGGAAAAACCTTTGAAAGATGCAGAGGGACGTGGAGCGGCGGAGCGGAGCTGGATGACTCCAAATTACTCGAACTTATTATCGACGGCCATCGGGTGTCATCGCGTGAACTGGGAGAAGAGTTAGGCGTTGGTCATGCTACAGTGCTAAGGCACCTTCATACTCTTGGATTTAAATCAAAACTTGGGGCTTGGGTGACCCATGACCTCACTGACCCCCATAAGTCCAGCGCGCCTCGATCAGTGCCACCCATCTCTCACGATACAAAAGGAAATTTTTTTCTTTCTCGAATTGTGATAGGAGATGAGAAATGGGTTTTATCTGTGAACTTTCGGAGGAAGCGGCAATGGGTGAGGTCAGGCGAGAAACCCGAAAATGACCCTAAGCCCGATTTGCACCACAAAAAGTTTATGCTCTGCGTTTTCTGGGTTTTGGAAGGAGTGGTGTGCTGGGAGTTGCTGGATAGCAAGACGACCCTTAATGCAATCAAATACAGTGAATAGTTGGAAAAGGTGAATGAATCCCTGAAGAAGAATAGGCCCTCCAAGTCAAAGATCGTTCTCCTTCACGACAACGCGCGCCCTCATGTAGCAAAACTGACTCGCGCTAAAATAAACAGCCTTGGCTGGGAACTTTTGGCGCATCCCCCATGCAGTCCGGACCTCGCCTCTTCTGATTACTATTTTTTCCGGAGCATGAGTAATGAGCTTGCGGGAGAACACTTCAATTCGGAAGAAGCAGTCGAAAATTGGCTCTGAAAGTTTTTCGATTCAAAACCAAAATCCTACTACGAAAGAGGAGTCCGCAAATTGCCTGTAAAATGGGCAGAAGTTGTCAATAATAATGGGAATTACTTGGAATGAATTTATGGTTTTATGTTGAATAAATTTTAGTTCAAAGTCCCGCAGTTTTCACTAACCCAATATTTTCCATTATTTGCTATTGATGCACTTTTTTCGACAGATAAGAAATAAACGACTTCGCTTTTTCAGCAAGGCCACTCTTCATTATGCTCCCTTTTTTTCTTATCTTTCCACTTTTTTCGTTTAAACTAAACCTCGACAAAAAATTTCATCTTTTACGGAGGATGTTGAAAGTTGAAAAAACGCAAAAAGAAAAAATTAAATAAACAAAAATAAAAAAAATAAAAATTTCGCTGAGAGAGCTTCCAATTGAGTATCCGGTGTTAGTTTTCAAAAGTAATGCCTAAGTTGTCTTGCATTTTTATGAAAATTGTAATTTCTAATTTATTTCTTTTGATTCATATACCTATAGGCCTCCTCAATCAAATCAAATGAACAACAGTTGCGTTATATAGGCTTTAACACAAGATATTCAGCTAACAAGCTACAAAACAATAAATGATTGGGGGCGCGAAATAGAATGAAGGCGCACGGATTTCTGCAATACTTCTCCAATTTTTAGGCTGTCAGAGTTAGGTAACTTTTTAGTTGCTATTCGCCACACTCCGACCTCCAAAATGATTCAGAGTTTACTCTGGATTCTCCCCGCAACGCAAAAATGTAAAACGGAAACTTGTTCTGCGACAATCTTAACAGAGAAAGTTTAAGTTTTTTGAGGAAACGTTGTACACCAGGAATTTTGTAGGGAGGAATTTAAATCTTTAAAAAAAAGAGCAAATTTTTGGTAAAAAAAAGGATAATTCTGAAAAAGGAGCAAAGTTTTGAACGAGGAGTAGAGAAAGGGAAAACACAACAACTAATATTTGGATGATGCCTGGCCTTTGATTATTTCGATTCCAGGTTTCTCACAGAAAGCCACGTGGTGTTGACCGCCGCAATGACTGCAAGAGATGAGTGATTTGTTGCATGGTCCCGGATGTTCCTTTAGGCAATTTTTCGAAATTTGGCATATTCTATTCATTGGTGCAATTTTCATTCTGTCAAAATATTCAATCTTCATTGAACATTTGACTATATCTTTGCATGTTTTGGCTCCACAGAATATGCAATCTTTTTTAACGTGACGTTGTGTGTTTGCTGTCGTCATTTTTCGCTTCGTTGGCGGTTCATCTCTATCCTACAAGTCTTCAATCAGCTTATTGAGCTTTTGGTTGATCATTTCTTCAATGGTCTGCTTCCATTCGACCAACATCTCCCTCAAGTCATCTTTGATTGAAGCCGATGTGGCAAGAGTCTCCGTGAAAATCGCGTTCGATAGCTTTTCCGTTGATTCGTTGATCATTGACGTGATTCCCAAAAACTTCTTTATCTTCTTCACCAATTGCTTCACCACGGACGTAGTGGTGCTCCCTATTGTGGTGTCTTCGATTTTGGCTGACATGTTCCTGTAATTTGAACATTTAAATGTTGTTTAAAAAGAAATCTTGTTGAAAGAGAAATTTTAAGAAAGGGGAAAACTTGATACAAATAACGTTCGACGGGTTAATGATTTTGATTTAAATTTTATAATATTCAATTCCACAAGGTATGGTTCGAAAAATATAAAATTTGTTACGGAAGCGCGAGCTTTGTTGCTTTGTCGAAATGCTCAGAAATCGTCATCTGGTGCTTGCCGGTAATTTACTTTGCCTTTTGCGGCTCTTGGCGTACTGTTGCGTAGTGTTTCTTTTTTCGACGTACTTTCGCACGGTTTTTCAAAATTTTCTTTAGCGCGAATTTCTAGTGGTATCAACAGATTGATTGGTCTTTCGATTTGCTTATTATTGCCTGCTTTGACAATAGCGCTTCGAATTTTTCCATATGCGCCTGCCATTAAGCGTATAATTTTGCCTTTTGCGTAAGAACCTCTTTTTACGTCTTCCTTCATTATCAGTACAATTTCGCCAACTTGAATAGCTACTTTTGATTCTCGCTTACTTGCGTGTTGTTTGCCACTTTCTCGTAATGAGTGCATGTAGCTTTTATGAAATGTTTTCCACACCAAGTTGAGGTAGTATTCTGTGGTTTCAATTTTTCTTTTGACATCTTCATGAGTTTGTATAATTTTGTCTTGATAATCTCTGATCTGGGCAACTTTCAATTTCAAGGTTCAATTTTACGCCGGGCAAAAGAAAATCTATTGGGCGAATCAATCTTTCTGACTTTTCTTCGTCTAAGTGAGTCAGATCTGTTGACAAAGCCTTCAATTTCTATCATGATAACCTCCAGTAGTTGCTTGGATATTCCTCTTCCGTGTTTTATCTTTCCCAGTGCTAGTTTGACACAACTGATTAATCTTTCATATATCCCTCCCTGCCACGGTGCATGTGGAACTGTAAATTTCCATTGTATACCATAATCGGCTAGGGTTTGGATATTCATGAAGTTTTCCTCGATTTCTTTTGCATTCTTTAAAAATTTGTCCGCCAATTTGAATGTTTTAGCATTATCTGTCAGAATGAGTTTAGGTTTTCCACGACGAGCGCAAAATTTTCTCAGACTTTCTAGAAACGTGCTGGTTCGTAATGAATCTACAATTTCTAGGTGAATGTTCCTTGTGCGCACACATGTGAACAGAACGATGATACGCCTATTTCGACGTCTAGTGATGAGTCGTAGATCAATACTGGACCCATGTAATCTATTCCGGTATTCTCAAATGGCAAACTGCGATTTGCTTGAATCTTTGGGTAAGGTGTCCATGCCGGTTGCTTGTATGGGAGCCCATTAAAATGCTTGCTAAGGTTGAGGCAGTGCCTGCATGTCCCATTTGTCTGTGGTGATGTCTTATGAGTAGTGTGCAAACATGGCTATTCGGCAAAATTACAATTGCTTTTGAATTTTGAAAGTATCTAAATGTCTCTGACATCCTGTCAACTTTTCGGTAAATTCCCCATTCGTCCTTCTCAACTTTACGTGCCTTTTCTTTCAACTCTTTCTTATTTTCACTTTCATGTTGTTTTATGAGAAGTAACTTTACATTTTTTAGGAAATGGGCCGGTCTATCAATGATGTTGTCGCCACTTCGCGGATCTACTCGACACGATGGAATTGGCTTCAACGCAGGATTGGTGGGTAGTTTGTTAATTTTCCTGATCCAGCGGTTTATTTAATAAAGAAACATTGCCGTTGTCTTGACCAATTTGTAAAAAGTTCCAAATCTTTTTTCTTCTATTAGAATTTCTTGGTTTTCGGTTACGATTTCTGTTAGAATCAAAGTGTTTTTGGCTTCCTCTTCAACACTTTGAGAGAAATTTGGAATTTCGAACCGTTGAATTTCTTTTGGCCAAAATTTTTCACCACTTTGTAGGAATTGTGGGCCTTCCAACCATACGCTTTTATGTAGTTGCTCGGCGGTGATTCCTTTGGTGCCATAGTCGGCTGGGTTTAACTTTTCAGGAACATGAAACAATTTGACTGGGATTTGCAATGCCTTTAGTTCTTCTTGAACCTGGGCAATTTTGTTTGTCCGATTCTGAACAAATTTTCCTGCTTTATCCCTTGTTTTTTCTTGGGTGACCCATTTCAGTGCCACTTGTGAATTTCCGCAAATGACAATTTCATCAATCTTTAATTTTATTTCTTTCAATAGGTATTGGATCTGCTTATGAGCACATTCTAGGGCTAACAATTCTATTTTTGGGATTGTGGGAATGGCTTTCG